ACATTTTTTTTTGGTTTTGGTTTTTCTCCGGTACCGGGAACCGAACTCACGACCTTGCGCTTGTCAGGCAGGCGCTTTTGCCGCTGAGCTAAATCCCCAGCCCCTATAGCAATTTTTAAACATATACAAAAGTAGATGCCTGGCAAGTGGGAGGTCCTGAGTTCAATTCCTGGTACCAAAAAAAAAAAAAAGTAGAGGCTAAACTAATGATTCCCCATATACCTTCACCCCAGCCAACAATTATTGATTCCTGATAACCTTGTTTTATGCAGGACGGCGACATCCAGTAGGACTCTGCTGCTGGCAAGTCCTGTGCCCGTGCTACTCACCACAGCAGCCACATCTGGGTACTGAGCACTTGGAATGAGGCTAGTGCGATTGGAGAACTGAATTTTTAATTGTATTTAATTTTAATTAATTTAAGCTTAAACAGCTATATATGGCTAATGTTGCAAATGTAGGTGTTGGAGAGCATAGGTCTGGACCCCATTGCATTTTCTTCCTTCCATATTATTTTGAAGGAAATCTCAGATATCGTATCATTGCCTCCATAAATATTTCAGTATATCTCCAAAAAAAGCTATTAAAAAATCTAAAATGTGCAATAGTGCTATCACACATATAAAAAGGAATAATAATTTCTTTAAAGTTCATATGGTATTTCTTTAATTAGTTGCCAACATTTCTACATTGAGATTTTCTTTTTTTGCATAAACATCGTAATTTCCAACTATTTTTTAAAAATTAAGAAAAAGAAGGGGCTGGGGATTTAGCTCAGCAGCACAGTGCCTGCCTGGCAAGCGCAAGGTCGTGAGTTCGGTTCCCGGTACCGGAAAAAAACCAAAAAAAAAAAAGAAAAGAAAAGAAAAAAAAGAAAAGAAATACATTTCAAACATTGAAACTCCATGTTCTCCTAGGGCAGCAAGTTGCTGGAGCTGACAGTGGCTGCTTCTGTGGACAGGGTCCTCTCTGTCATTCTCCAGAGTCCCAAACTAAATCAGCTTAGCTCTTCTAAGCGCTGCTGCTTGACATCCTAACTCTACCATGTGGAATTATAGACCAGAGACAAATAGCAGTGTTGCTTTCTCCCTGCCTTGATTTCTGGTACCTTCAAATGCTACTGGGAGACTAGACCCTAGCTCACAGCACAGGGAAGCAGGAAAAGGTGGAACAAAAGTCCCTGGGCTTTTTGAGTTTGGGGTCCTGAGTTTTGGTCTCTGTTCCATGCCTGTTTCACAGATGAGGAAACCAAGACCCAGAGGGAAGAGGAGGTTTGGCTGCATGCACAGTGTGAGGGACATGAGATGCCTGAACATGGTTCCAAATGCTCTGCCTGAGATCAGCTACCTGCTGCTGTGCTGGACAAAAAGAGGGACACTGCCTGGGAGCTGCTGGGTGGTTAGACAAGAGAGGGTCTCAGCTTTCCAGCCAGAGCTTAAAATTAGTGACTGGAAAGTGTTTGGCCTCATCCCAGCAAAAAAAGGTGCTGTGGCTCTGTAGGGTGCTGCTAAGGAGGAGGGAGACAGCCTAGCTCCCAGCACCATATGAAATGGGAGTCAAACGTGTAAAATCACATTCTTTACTGACATTTATGAATCATTTGGCTGCCAACACCAGGAAGGTCCTATTTTTTACATCATTACAGGAGTGCTCAGAATTTAAGGGTAAAGCAATGGGGAAGGGAGTCTCAGGCCAAGAGGTTCCTGAGCCACAGTGCAAGTGAAGGGGCTGGTGTTTCCTAGAGAACCTACAGATTGGTCTTGGTCCCAGGTCCTATCTCAGCTGACGCACACCCCGTGCGCAATGCAGGCGTCAGTAGCCCTGGCTTGAGATACAACTTCAGTACTTTCTGACTGTTTGACCTTGGCAAATCTCTTCTCTATATGCCTTCTAAATGTCTCTGGACCATCCTTTCCTGTCCTCTGACAACTGGTCTCCCGTCTTCCACCCTTGTTCCCTTGCAGTCTGTTTCCCAGAGCCAAAGCGCTCCTTCAATCAGCCTTTCCCTGCTTAAAGCCTCCCCGTGGCTCTCCATCCTTCTTGGGATAAAGAACAAATCCTCCACCATGGCCTACCTCATCTCTCGCTTTTCCCCTTCCTTCTTTGAATTACAGCCATTCGACCACTTACTATTCCCTCCTACCCACCTCAGGACCTTTGTTCACACTTCCTCTACCAGCGACTCTCTTCCTTCCCTCCTTCACCTGGCTAGCTGAGTGCTTGCTTCAGACCATGGCTCAGCAGTCACTGCCTCCAGAAACCTTCCCTGACCACCAGACCCTTCTCCAATGGTACTGCCATCCTCCATGCTGGAGCAGGGAACCTTACTAGGGCATGTCTGGAACCCGAGGAACATGTTTTTTACGTGTTAATGTGATGATTTAATTAATGTCCAACCCCTCTCCTCCATTAAACTGAGCTCCTAATGGATGAGTTGGGTCTCTTGCTCACCGTTGTATCTGTCCTTGCTCCTGACACATCATGGATACTCAAAAATCCTTGAAATAAGTGTCAAATAGGAATGGGGACATGGCTCAATGATAGAGCATGTGCTTAGCACACATAAGGTCCTGAGTTCAGCCCCCACCACAAAAAAGAAAAAAAAAGTCAAATAAACTATCTTTTCTCTGAGACTCGGTTTCCTCATCTGAAAAGTGGGGATCGTCTCCATAAATCTCAGAGCTGCAGAGGATTTTAGCAAAGTCCATATAGAAGATATTGACTGAGTGGTGGCTATTTTGGGGGGATGGGCAGAGACCCTCAAAGAAAACCTCCCTTGTGAACTCTCCTGGAAGTCTTCTCTAACCCCCTCTCTCCTAGAGACAGATTCAGTGGGCATCAAGGAAAACTGGCCCAGGAATAGGTGGCAGGCCCACCAGAAACTAGAAGGAAACTATAAAGTTTCCTTCTTCTTGATACGGCCTCTTGTTCAAACACCTCCTTAATACCTCCCATGACTAAGTGCTCTGCCCTGGGCTAGGTGTTTTATACGTTTCACCACCTCACCCCAGTGAGGCTGGCATTGAGCCAGTGGGTTCAGAGAGGGGCAATAATTTTCCCGAGGCTACACAGGCAGTAGGTGACAGAGCCAGGCTCTGAGCCCAGATCTCCCTAACCCACAGTCTGGATTGTTTCTCTCTGTGCTCGGCTACCTTTACTCAGGAGCTTATAAAGCAGTTTATAAAGTACATCCACTCATTCAGGAAGTAAGTAGGCATGGAACATTAATGATGTGCCAGGCACTGGAGACATAGCAGAGGAAAAGATACATTTGGTCCCTGTTCTCATGGAAAATAAATATGTAAGCAAGTAAAGTAGATCATTTCGGGTTGAGATATATGAGATTTGGGAAAAGGAGCGGCATGACAGTTGACCAGAGGAGTAGGTGGGTAGGAGAGTTTGGAAGGGTGGTGGGTCAGGGACACTTCTTTGAGCAGATGACACTGACCAAGACAGAAGAATCCAAATCTGGCAGGCAATAGTGTGGAAGTTTCTAGACTGAGGTCTTGAGCTTGGGCTGAGCATGTCTGTTGAGGAGTAACAAGCCCAGCTGAGCTGGAGGGCATGAGAGGGAGGCTGGAGGTGAGGAGGGCCTTGAGAGGGACAAAGGCTGGGCCAAACTGAGCCCCAAAGTAAAGGTGACAATTTCATCTAAGAGTAGTGGAGAGCAACCTAGCCTGGCTGAGTTATTTTTCTCATTGTTGAGACAAAATACCTGTGACACCTAAAGTTAAAGGAGAAAAGGTTTATCTTGGCACAGTTTGTAGAGGTTTCAGCCCATAACTGACTGGCTCTAAGGCAGGGTGGCGTGGCAGAGGGACATTACCGAGGAGACACAGTCCATGGCATGGCAGGGCAGGCAGAAGATAGCAAGCAGCAAGCAATGACCACAGCAAGCCTTCCTTCTGTCCTTTCTATTCCATCATACCCGGGGTGGGTCACTCTTCCTTTCAGCATTGAACTCTTTATCCCAGCATCACATACCTTAGACCCAGCCACCTCCAAAAAGCCCCATCTATAACCCCAAGAGCCTTTGGGGTACATCTAGATACAGCCATAACACTGGCCAGGAGTTTACAAGCCCCTCAGGCTGCTGTGATGGACAAGCTCTGAGAGGCAAGGGGGAGGCAAGATCAGGCCAGGCTGAAAGTGTACACTGTCATGAACCCAGGTGGTGACGCTGGGGAGAAAAGAAGTACTTGGGTTCAGGACAGGGCAGGTGGGGTTGCTGATGAAAACTCCTAAGGAGAGGCAAGAATTTGTTACTTAGGCCCATTTTAGGGAGGACTGAGACTCACAGCAGGGCTGGACCTTCCCAGAGCCCGCTGGGTCTCCTGACTCTTTGCTGACTCTCATCATCCTCTGAATGGTTTTCTCTAAACTCACAAAACCTCAAGAGAAGCTCTTAGGTCCACCATGTCCAACTGGGGTGCTCCTTGGCAGTCCTACTGCCCATGCTCCCTATGACTGAAGTAGCCACGGTAATATGGAGACAGAGTGGCCATGAGACACTGACACCCCTTTCCCCCCACCATCCTTTGGCTGGCTCAAAGGGCTATGGAGAACCAGGTCTGAGTCCTAGGTATGGCACTAATCTGCTGTGTGACTTTAGATAAGTTCCAGTCCCTTTCTGGGTCTCGGTTTCCTCGTGTGTAAAATGGGCATAAGAGTAGTACCCACCCCAAAGTTCTGTGGAGAGGAACAGACACACTGATAAGCACAAAAAATGCAGGGTGGCCCATCATGCTTTCAGCACGTAATAAATGAGAGTTCTTATCATTACTATGAACCCCTGCACACCCAGAGTAATGAGGGCTTGGCCAGTGGGCAGCTTGCTGCCTCCCCAGACCACCCTCCCTGGCCCACAGGGTCTGTGGCCACCCCCCGCCGGGGGAAGCTGGTTCCTGGATGGAGTGGAGCGGGGGCGCCGCTGGAAACTGCTGTGGTTTGGCCCAGAGCTATGAGGGGGAGTGGGGAGAGGCGAGAACACGCACTCGGAAATGCTGAGCAGCCCGACAGATGGAGGAGCTAAGGATGTGAGAGACACAGACAGACAGAGAGGGACCCAGAGTCAGGGAGAGGAGGAGCAGGCAGTGGAGGACGCCGGAGGACTGGCAGTCACACCACGCCACAAGCTGAGCAGCCAACCAGCAGATGGACGGGGTTTCCGGGGGACTGAAAGACCCAGACAGACACCTGCCCGGTCCAATTCAGATACAGTAAAGCCCAGCTGTCTTGAGCCCAAGTACTTCTCTCTTCCCCAGCGTCACCACCTGGATTCATGACAGAGTGCGCTGGCAGCCTGGCCTGATCTTGCCTCACCCTTGCCTCGCAGAGCTTGTCCATCACAGCAGTCCAAGGGGCTTGTAAACTCCTGGCCAGTGTCATGGCTGTATCCAGGATCCAGGACAGGTAGAAAAGCAGAGCCAGAGTCCAAGGGACAGGCAGGCTGTCTCAGCATCAAAGGGACACAGAAGCCCAGACACACAGGCTGGCCCAGGATCTCAGGGTCAGGCTAACAGATGGACAGAATACCCGAGAGACAATGGGACCTGTAGTTCAAGGGACAGATAGATAGATGAACCCAGGGTACAAGTGTGAGATTGATAGACAAATGAATGACATGGAACAGGAATAGATTCCTGCATTCAGTGATCAGACACAACAGACTAACAGATCCAAGCACTGGCCCAAGAGCTGAGGCCCAGCCTGGGCACATTTGGCTCTCTGAATAGAGCCTGAAGTCCAAGCCAGAGACCTGACCTAGTGCCAGAGACTTGGGTGATCAAGAACAGGAGTGAGCCAGGGTGACTCATATGCTGGGCTCAGAAGCTTCCTGGCTCCTCAGAAATATGGGATCCCCCATCCTCCTCTTTTTCTAGTTTAGGTGGATCCCCAAACTCTGGGGCATGCCAGGAGGTTCCTGGGTCACAGAGGCACCTGGACCTGGGGAAAAGGGAATGAACCCTCTTCTGTCTCCCAGCTGCTGCCTGCTCAGGGGGTCGTGGGGTCCAGAAGGCATGGCTTTTGGGGTCCTTGAGCAGAAGGATTTCACCTGCTGGTTTCTCACCTCCTCTGCAGGCTTGGATTTTTGCACCCAGCATCAACAGTGTGTACTTATCTGCTCTTCTAATTTCTCCCAGGACATGCTTCCTCTTAGCACAAGACTGGGAGTCAGAAAATTAGATCCAAAATAGACTTCTGAGTGCCTCTTTCTTTGCCTATAAAATGGGGCAGCAGAAGTAGCCTGTTAGGTCAAGGGCATGACTATAGTGCTTGACTTGCCCTGGGCCGCAGACCATTAAAACCTGAGAACTTTGGATGAAGGGAGATGTAGCTAGGCTGGAAAGGCATCAAGGAAGGCTTCCTGGAGGAGGAAGTAATTCAGGCAGGAGAAATTTAATAATTTGTCAGGAGAAACTGACAAGGTGTTCTGGCTCTATGCAGAAATTTAATAATTTGTCAGGAGAAACTGACAAGGTGTTCTGGCTCTATGCAGACTCTAGCAGAGAAGTCCCAAGGCCCTTGAAGATCAGGAAGGAGACACAAGAAAACATTCACATTTATGCCTACTACATGCACAAATGCAAGAGACACAGTGGTGACTAAGATAGATAAGATCCTTGCCCTCATAGATTCCCCAGTGATAGAGCAGAAAATAATTTGAGGCCAGCCTGGGCTCTGTAGTGAGTTCAAGGCCAGCCTGAACTACATAGTTAGATCCTGTCTCAAAAAAAAAAAAAAATTAAAAATAGAAAACAAATATTTAAATAAATAAATAGTTATTACACGATATATTAAGCAGAAAGTAAGAGGAGAGGATTTGGTAGACTGGAGTGATTTGGAGAGGGTGGAAGTGGCCTGGGAGGCCTCTCTATGAAGGTGATGAGGAGCCAGTCACTGCAGGACATGAAGAGGGGGTGTTCCAGGCCCAGCAAGCAGGAAGTGCGAAGGTCCTGCATCAGGAACAAGTTTGGCTGGGCCCTCCAGGGCACCGGGAGTGTGGTGAATATGTAGACGGTGGTTTGAGATGCAATGAGAAACAGGCCAGATGGCTTGAGCCTGTAAGCTGAGGGGAAAAGTCCAGGTTTGATTCCAACTGTGCTAGGAGGCCTCTGGAAGGTTTTTCAAAGGGGAATGACATGATCTGACAGGTTCTGGAGTCATCCCACAGGCTGCATGTGGGGGATGGACTAGAGGGGGCGGAGCCTACAGAAAAGGCCCATGTGGTTGTCCAGGCAAGAAATAACAGTCCCTTGCTCCTGGCGGTGACACTGGAAAGATGGAAGGATGAGGATATATTCTGGTAAAAAGCAAAGGTACATCCCTCTCCCCCAAATCTGGGTTCCTTGCTTTAAGAGAGTATGTTTTCTCTGTGGGTGGTACTAGTCCCATTGATGGTGACATCAGCTTCTCTCAACTTCCTTCCAAATTGAGTGGGATGTGGGATAGGGTGGGCTTCCTGGAAGAGAGTCCAAGAGAGGTAGCTTGGTGGTAAGGAGGAGCCCGAGATATGTTCCCCCTTCTGTATGCCCATCCCTCTACAGTTTGTAAATTATTTTCTAACCCATCACTTAATTTAATGCTCACAACAAGGAAGTAAATAAGGCTCAGAGAAGGGATACAGAAAGCCCAGGGCAGGCCTGGGTCGCAAACCCACACCCTGGAATATTTCCTTTCTGATCTTCACGCAGCAACCATGATGCAGGCAGGTGGCAAGTGCCAGCCTATCTTTGAGAGGAGAAACTGAGGTCAGGGAAATTAGGTTGCATATTCTGGGCAGGACTGTTTTAAGACCTTTGTGGGCTCTACCTCTATCAAGCATATTAAAATGTAGCCACGTCGAACATCAAATGTAAATTATACATAACCAGATAAAAGCCAAATTGCAGCTGACTGGCTGACATCATGTTCTGTTTTGCAGACATTTAATTAAACATTTATTAATTTTGATTCTGCAGTTTTTCCCTGTGTTTTGCAGCCAATTTTTTTTTCAGACCTCAAATATTCTTCTAGGTCCATGAACATCTCGCAGGCCCTTGGTAGTGAGCATTTAATGCTGGCTGGAAAGAACGGCCAGTTTGGGTCCTGTTGCCTAAAGGGGCCAAGAGAGGCAGAAGCCAGGCCTTTCATCCCCAGGCTGCAGTGAGGTCTGTGCGCTCTCGCCTGACCCCATGTGCCCAGGACTCAGGTCTCCTTTCCTCCCTCTCCTGTCCCTGTTCCTGCCCATGGGCAGCCCTGGGCTGTGTGAGCCCTTTGTCTGCCGTGAGCTGGGAGCTAGCCGAGGAGAGGGCAGGAGTGGGTGGGGAGGTGGGCAGTTGGCCGTCAGGTGGTGATGGATGCTGGCCTGGAGCCGGGGCCTCCCTCATGCTGACCCAGCCCGGAAACAGATGGTCTTCCAGCCTGAAAGAAACTTCCAGGGTGTCACCCTCCCCCAACTCCCCAGGCCCCTTCACGTTGGACCAGCTGGTCTCTCCTCCTTGTTCAAAGCCAGAGCCATGGGAATGGGGGGTGGGGGGAGTGGGCTGGGAAGGCAAAAGAGGTGGAGGCCAGGGAACATGGCTATGTTCTGAGCCCCTCAAAGCTCTGGGGCCATTTTAGACTCTCTCATAGCCCCCCACTTCTGGCCACTCCAGGTCTGGTTTCTGCCCCTCCTATGTCCCCCGGTCAGCCCTGTCATTGTAGGCCTGGACCAAACCCCGGCTTTTCTTGGCTTCCCTCCAAGCCATCCTCTCAGAGCTACTGAGCCAGCTCCCATCCAGAGCCAGCTCTCAGAGCTACTGAGCTGATAGCATCACCTCTGATTCTGGCATGGAATTCAGATTTAGAATAAAATCTGAACTCTGCAGTCCAGATTTTTTTAATGGTGCAAGGATCAAACCCAGAGCCTGGTGCATGCTAAGGAAGTTCTCGGCTGCTTGGCTACACTGCCAGCCCCTCTGTGTCCAGAATGTGCTACCCTTTACGGTTCTGGTCTTTTATGCCTTTGCCTGTTAAAACTCTCCTATCCAGGGCCAGCAAGCCACTGGCCATTGCCCTGAAATGCCGCGCGCTCTCATGCCTGCGCCTTTGTGTCCAGCAAATCTTCCCTCTGGGATGACCTTCCACCTCTTGGTGTCTTCAAATGCTGATCCTTGCTTTAAAACTGAGATCACATTTTCTTCCTCCAGGCTTCCCTGACTTCTCCCCAAACCTTGCAGACAAGTTACTCCTCTGGTTTCCAAAGCATCTTGTAGTGTCTATTTCACCTCTTACCTGTCTTCTGTCTCCTTCCAATGAGACTGTGAGAAATATGAGGGCAAAAAACAGGTGGTTAAAATACGCTTGCTGTTGCATGAATAGCAAAGAATGATTCTGGTTGCAGGGATCACTATGTGGGCAGCGGGAGTGGATCCAAAGATGGAAGATAAAGGGACACAAATTTATTCTCATCAGAAGAAACAAAATCCAGGCCTGGAGCTGTTCAGAAGCCGAGAGCCTCACCTCAGGAGGGAGGGAAGTGTCCAAGCAATGAGTGTGAATGAACAGGCTGGAAAGGACTGAAGGAATTCCAGGGTTGGAAGGGAGAACTGGACTGAGGGGTCTTTGCAAGTCAGCTTCGGAGGGAATGGCTCCTTCCCCGTTGGTCCTGGATGCCAATCTTGTAACGTGTGGAGGATGTGTCTACATCAATCGGGGATGGGGAGGAGGGCTCTAAATGAGAAGTTCCTGGCCACATTTTGTGGGGCGTCTATGGACCCCAGAATATAATCTTTGAAAGGATCTCCAAGGCCGTCAAGCCGGTCCCTCTCACTGGCCAATGGAGAGAAACAGGCCCAGAGAGACCACACTACTGTGAACAGCAGGATACCCATCTGAGGAAACTTGGTTTTAGCTGGCCCTATGGCACCTTGCTCCCTCGCTTAGGCTCATAGTATAGTGTGGATACACTTGGACTCACGGTTCCCAAAGGACATACTGGAGATGCCAGTACTCCTCGTCTGAGGCTAGACTCCACAAATCCTGGGCTCCCCAGTTTCAGATTTGGGCAATAAGGTCACTAAATCTGTGTTGGGATTTTCCTGCCTGGTTTTCTGGGGAGGCAACTTTTGGAGGATTACTCTATGGTTTCAGCAAATGACCTGCTGTCCCATGAGCAGGGTCTGTGGGCACAGCTACCAGAGGGCAGCTGCTAGGCCAGAGAGGGGAAAGAGAACCCAGGGATTTGTATGCCAAGTAGCTTCTGGTCTATTCAGTCCTCATAGCTACTTTGAGAGATACTAGGGCTCAGAGAGGGTCTTGTTCAGGATTACATGGTAAATGACAAGTGAAATCAGGAACTGGACTCAGACTCAGAGTTCCTCCCCTCTTCCAGCTGCCCCCAGGGTTATCAGTATTCTAGTCACCTCAGCAGGCTTGCATATGATGCATCCATTCATTCATTCATTCATTCAGCCCACCGTGGACTGAGCACCTACTCTGTGATTAGGACTGAGGGTGCACAGTGAGCAGGCTGACCTAGTCAGTGTCCTGGAGCTCAGTTTGGGGAGATGCATGCATGATCCGGCAGTTACAGCCCACTGAGATGGCCAGGCCTGGTGATGCACACCTGTAATCCTAGCATTCAGGAGGCTGAGGCAGGAGGAGAGCTGTGAGTTCAAGGCCAGCCTGGCCTACACAGTGAGTTCAAGGCCAGTTTGGACTGAGTAGCAAGACCCTGTCTCGAAAAACAGAAACAAAACAACCCACTGCAATGAGGCCTGAGAGAGGAAGACAGAAGCCTGGGGGAGGCTCCTACCCATGGTGGAGGGTGGTCAACAGCTTTCTGAAAGAAGTTTGAAAGCAAAGCTTTGGAAGAAAAGCAAAACTTATCCAGGTTTGGGGCTTAGGGGCTGGGGGGACAAGCCAGGATATTCCAGGCAGAGGGAGGAGTAGGTATAAAAGCTCAGCAGTAGGAGAGCTTTGGAGCACTGTGGAATCTGTGGCCTGTGCTGAGTAGCTGGAGCCACAAAATTTGTTGACAGAAGTGTCATAAAAGGAACCGGCACAGCCCTTTGCTCCCAGGTAGAGCGGGGCACTGAGATAAGGTCAGGGGCTGCCGCAGATAGGGGTGGGGGAGGGGCGGGGGGTGAGTGTACTGAAGTAGCGAAGCACTTTAGGATTTGAGTAAGAGGCAGTGTACTCTAATGGTCAGAGTGCTGCCTAGGTTTGAGTCCTTGTTCCGCTGCTTCCTAGCTGCGACCTGGAGCGAATGATAGGCCTCCCTGGGTCCCAGTTTCCTCTTCTACAAGATAGGGATGATAACAGGGCTGGTGTAAGCGCTCTCCGGTGTCAGTAAACCCTCAAAGAAGGCGGGCCGCCTAAGGTCGGTGATAACGCTGCGGCTTCAAGGGTCTCCTGTACCGGAAGCTAATGAGCCGACGCAGTGCTCCCCATCCACTGCCGGAGGCCCATTTTACAGCTGCACGCTGAGGGACCCCGGCTGCCCTGGCCGCCTGGCTGGGTGCGGGGCTGGCGGGAGGGCGCGGGCTGAAAGCTTGCTTCCCGCAGGTACCTGCACGCCCTGTACCTGGGCCTGCAGAGTCGCTGGCGCGGGGAGCGGCTGCGGCGCCACTTCTACTGGCGGATGCTGTTCGAGAGCGCGGACGTGAGCATGCTGCGCCTGCTGGAGACCTTCCTGCGGAGCGCGCCTCAGCTGGTGCTGCAGCTCAGCCTGCTGGTGCACAGAGGCCGGGAGCCAGACCTGCTGCCCGGTGAGCCCCGCCCCGCCCCGCCCGGCTGCCCCCCCCCGGGGAAGCCCTGTACCTTCCCAATCTCAAAGCTTCTGGCAAGCGTAGGGAAACCCACCCTGTAGTCTCCCTACTGCGGGTCTGTCAAGACACCCATGGCCCCAGTACCTGACTCTTCGCCCTCTCACCACCCCTCAGGACCCCTGGGCGCCTCCCACATGCCTTCCCCCTTTGCCACTGCCAGGGCAAACCAGACTCCATTTCTGTCCTTCACCCCTCCACACACTACAGACCTGCTGCGGAAGTCCACTGCCTGTTCATTCCCCAGACTCCCAGTCCTAGCCTGCATCTTCTGGGGACACCTCCTCACAGATCTGCCCTCTCAACATCAGGGCGGCTCCTGACCCAGATCCCTCCTGCTCTACCCAGCCCCCACCCAGACCCACCCTAACCCAGCCCACCCACTCCCCACCCTGTCTCCACAGCCCTCTCCACTTCTGCCTCCCTCGTGTCCCTGGCATGGACTCTGGCCTCCTACCAGAAGGTGCTGCGGGACTCAAGGGATGACAAGCGGCCCCTGTCCTACAAAGGCGCTGTGGCCCAGGTGCTGTGGCATCTGTTCACCATTGCAGCCCGCAGCCTGGCCTTTGCCCTCTTTGCCAGTGTCTATAAACTCTACTTTGGCATCTTCATTGTGGCCCACTGGTGCGTCATGACCTTCTGGGTCATCCAGGGTGAGACTGACTTCTGCATGTCCAAGTGGGAGGAGATCATCTACAACATGGTGGTAGGCATCATCTACATCTTCTGCTGGTTCAATGTCAAGGAGGGGCGCAGCCGCCACCGCATGACCCTGTACTACTGCATTGTTCTGCTGGAGAATGCTGTGCTCACTGGCTTCTGGTACTCCAACCGCAACTTCTCCACTGACTTCTACTCGCTCATTCTGGTCTGTGTGGTGGCCTCCAGCTTTGCGCTGGGCATATTCTTCATGTGTGTCTACTATTGTCTCCTGCACCCCAATGGGCCCATGCTGGGTCCCCAGATGCCTGGCTGCATCTTCCGTGAGGCCTCAAGGCCCTGTGGCCCACCAGCTGACGCTATCACAAGTCCTCCAAGGTCCCTGCCAAGGACTACAGGCACGGAGCGGGATGGGGTCTCGGTGGGGGGTGAACGCCCAGGGACCCCCACGCCACCTGTCTTTCAGGTGCGGCCTGGCTTGCCTCCCACACCAGTGGCCCATCCTGTGCGGACAGAGAGGCCTGTCATTCGGATTGACTTGCCTCGCAAGAAGTACCCAGCCTGGGACGCTCATTTTATTGACCGCCGGCTCCGGAAGACCATTCTGGCACTGGAGTACTCCTCGCCTACCACACCCCGGTTGCAGTACCGGAGCGTGGGGACAACCCAGGAACTGCTAGAATATGAGACCACAGTGTAGGCCACAGTCTTTCCCAAAAGGGGGACAGACATGACTGACCCCACATCAACCACAGTGTTAACCTGGAGTTTGAGGGCCAACAGGCTAAGGGGAAATGGATCTGTTGGTCCCAGGATAGAGTGGCCCCACCATTGGGTTCTTTTAGGGGTGGGGGCAGCCCTTTAGGGGAGGCCTCAGTCCCAGGCCCTGTTTTCAGTGCTCTGGCCCATTCCCGAAAGTCCCCTGAACCAGGGCCAAGGGAGTTGACTGGTGCTACATTCCTCACAAGCTGCCCCATTTTTACTGGGGCCTCCATACCATGCCTGATGCAAGGGGCTGATGCCCTTGCTCCTGCCTGGCATTGCCCTCCTGGTACCCCTGGTGGACCTAGCAGAGGGAGGGCACTGTCAGATCCATGGCCTGGGCCGTTTGCTCTCCAGAGGGGATGGGGAGTATGGCTGCCTCTGTATGGGAGAGAATCTCTGAGATGGATGGAGGAGATGGTGGAAAGTGTGGAGTGAGTTGGGGCATCTTGTGGACAGGGTTGTCATGTCCTGTTGGGTCTGAGGCCTAGAGCTGGACAAGAGGGGACTTGAAGGAGGGAGTTTGGGTGGGGGAGTGGGGTGGGGGCTGGTGGTGGGGAGATGGACAGGAGAAGGAACCCTGAGGGCCCAGGCTGGTGGGAGTATGGCAGGGTGAAGGTCTGGGGAGAGGAATCTGCAATCCAGAGCAGAGAGAATAAGGAACACCAGCTCCTCGGGAAACAAGCTTTGTTGTGGACTGGTATGGATGACGTTCTAGACACCTCAGGTGAACTTTTTGAGGAGTCATTCTTTGTTCTAGATGAGCATCTGGAACATTTCTTCTAGATGAAGGTCTTGAACACAGCAGATAAAATGTCTAGGAAGATATTCTGTGTGGGCTCAACTACAGATGAGGCAGCAGGACATTCAGCAGAGGAACTGTTCTAGAGACATGCTTAGCTGTAGATGAAGTTCTAGAACACATCAATGATAAAATGTCCTAGGGAGTTGCTGATCTATATTCTATTAGGAGAAGTAAGGACACAGAAGCAAGGACACTGCTTCACTGTGGGGGGATTCTAGTGTCCACTACAGTGGGTGAGGGGAAGGGGCCCCTAGAACCCAGTGCAAATGGAACAGTCTAAGCATGGTGCTGCAGTTCTAGACTTCTGGGGCTTATGGGAGTTCTAGGTTACTGTCCATCCTGGTCCATAGCCATCTTTCTAAAAAGGAAGTTGTCCCTAGAACCTGAGCTATTTCAGCTGCCAACTTGTTTTCAGCAGGGAAAATAATAGCTTTGGGGATGTGACATGAATCCTGGCTCTCCACCACCCAGTAGATGCAGCTCTTTGGGGCAGCATCTGGGAAACAGACTTGTTTTGTCTCACATCTGAAAACCCCCCAGGATTCATGGTACATTCCCAAACCCAAACATCCTCGGGCGTGCATGGGATCACACATCCAGGGCTGCTTCTCTGACCCAGGGAGCCAGTCCTAGATGGGGTGTGAGGTGGGGAAATGGGTGGCCATATGGGTTGGAGGGATGGATCCTTTAGGCAAAAGTTGGAGCCCCTTCCCATCTCCAAACCACTAAGGTGGGTTCACTAGGAGGGGACAACAGGGAACTTTAGAGAGAGACGCAGACCCTGGCTGGGGCAAGGTATGCCATGAGAATCCTACACTATGCAAATGATAAGGTGTGCTTAGCCTCCCTGCTCAGCTACCCTACAGATTAAAGATGGGAAACTGAGGCCCAGAGTGGCAGCTGCTCTCCCAAGGCTTGAGATGGCTGGTTGCCCCATCAAATAGTGATGGGTGATGGATTTGCTGAGGATGTAAGGAGGGCCCACGCTCAGGGTAAAGAGGGCAGGACTGTGCACATACGCACACACACACACAAGCACATGTCACATCTGTGATATAAGTAACTCAGCCCCACCCACCACAGGTGGCTACACAGAAGACACCAGGCCAAGATGGTGCATCCCTCCTGCCACACAGAATACTTTTCCTTCTTCCTCTGCTTCTCTGATTCCTAAGGCGCCTCAGGAACTCAAGAGCGATGGATGATTTCATCCCAAGGCAGGCCCACTCTGGTGGGCTCACCATGCTCCTTGTCCTCTGCCCCAATCTATCTCCTGAGACCCATTTCCATGGTTGGTCACACACATGCCACAGTCTTTGTGACATGAGCATTGCCAATGAGGGTGCTGCTTCCCCAGGCTGATTGTGCCAGGAAATTTCATTCCATGCTGTTTCCCTTATACCATCCCCTACTTGCAACCTCCCATTCAGAGGTGTTGTCTTCCCATTCTACAGATGAGGAAACTAAAGCTCAACACAGCCACCTGAGGACCACCTTGGCAAGTTATTTTACTCCTTAGGGTCCTGGAAGGCCTATCTGGCTGCTTTGTTCTCCAGCATCCTAGAAGGAAAAGCTAGACGTACCCTTTCTGGGAGCTGGAGTCCCTTTACAGCTCTGGCAGCTCCAGGAACCTGGGCATGTGAATGAGCTGCCAGTGCCAGGCACAGCTTGAGGCTCACTGGGGTATCACAGGTATATTTTTTTAAACTCAGTCCCACTAAACCTTCCCTCAGGACCTCTGCATGTAAAAACATCTGAACACCAGAAAAGATGATGGTCAAAGAGCCCGAGGAGAGGACAGTGGGCACATTCTGCTTCTTAGCCTCCGGAGAGAGTTTAGCCTTCTGACCCTGGATTTCAGGACTCCATCCTTCTTGGCCTGAGGTCCCCCTCTCTGCTGGTCTGTCTCCTTGCATTGGCATAGAGGAGTCAGAGTGAGGGAAGGCCCATCCCCTTGGGGCTGTTTCCTGTTCCTCTCTGTCACACAATCTACCTCAGCCTGTCTGTCTTCCCTGCCAGAACTAAACCCCTTGGGTTCTCCATCCCCCATTCCCTATCTCCCCAGCCTGGATGCTCAGTCCTCCCCACAGTCCCTACAAAGTCCTGCTGTGAGAGAGGGATCCCCTCAGCCACCTGCCCTCCTCATCCATTATAAAGGAGAAACTGAGGCCTGGAAAGAGGCAGGCACTTGCCCAAGATTGCACAGGAAGTCAGTAACAGAGCTGGAATTTTCCTGGGGATGAGAGGTGATCAAGTCTGTCTTAATTTTGCCAGGAAGAGAAGAGGAAACATTCTGGTACCAAAGCAGCAGGAGGCCCTGCTCTAGTACCTAATCCTAAGAGACCTGTCCCTATTCTCAGGGCAAATTTCAGTCTCCCTACTTTCTCAAGCTCCCACCCTTGAACTGACTCTGTAGGCTGCTGACTGGGGTCCCTGACCTCTCCAGGCACCGAGCACCCCTGTCACATGTCCACGCACTGACATAACATGTGCCTTGTATCCGGCACCCCAGCTCAGCAGCATAGGCCTCCATCCTCCCCAGCAATGGGTCCCCAACAAGGGAGGCTTTCTCAAGTCCCCTCCTCTCCTCTGCCTCATTCTTGTACCTCCCCCAAATCTGCCTTACCCTCAGCAAGCTCCCTGTGACACCTCTGTCTCCCTGAAGCTGGGTCACCCTTGAGAGCTGGAAAAGCAGAGGGCTGGCAGGTCCAGGTCTCTGGGTGAGGACAAGGGGGCTGAGAATGTTCAGGAAGGTGCTTGCCTGGCAGCCCCAAAGCTCCCTAAAGACCAGAGTTCTATAGGTCCTTCCCTTAGAGGCACCTGGGCTGGCACTGGGTATGGGGAGAAGGTTCTCTGGGGCGGGTGTGTGGCCCGCAAAGTCAAGTGTCTGCACATAATGAAACTAGGGAAGTGGAGGTGCCAATGGGATGGGGGGCCCCTGGCAAACAGGATAGTATATGCCCTACCCATTGGCACTAAGTCCAGATTTTTACAAACACACTGTGCTGGCCAAACTAAATACTCTTTCCAGGGTCACTAGTTTGAAACCTTCAGTTCAAAATATTGAGATGATTCTGGGGAGGCCCACAGGGCCTGGAAACCTTTTGGAGGGACAGAGGCCTTTGCTTCCCCTGAGACTTTACCAGTCTAACTCTATGCCCCTGCCACCTGGCCCTCTGAAAGAAGACCCCACTCCTCCCTCAGCTGGAAAGGAGGAGGAGTCCAGGGAATCCACAAGGACTCTGGCTTGGGAAACATCCTCTAATAAGGGCTGCAGGCCCACCTAGGCCTCAGTGCAGCTTGAGGGGGAGCTTTGGAGTGGGGGCACTTCTGGTTAGGAGGAACCTGCATCAGGTGAGGGGGAGTCTAGGCACAGGATAAAAACTGAAAGTGGGACCCACTGCCCCATGTTGTGCTGGCCTCGGACCTGCTTCCCTGCCACCTGAGCTGGGAACAGGTGCAGGAGAGCTGCCAGTTTCCATACTGGAGTGCTTTGTGACCTCTCAGTGCAAGGGACTGAGTGAGTGCCAAGCCACACAGACAGTCGCAGAGCAAGGGCCTCAGTCCCTCTTTCCAGCCAAAGAGGTTTCTGAGACCCTAGGCTGGGGAGGGGACTACAACCTGCCATTCTGGTTGGGAAGGGATGTGGCATTCCCAGGCCCTTGGTTGCTACAGGTGGGGGCAAGGAGAGGAGGAAGGCTGGAGCAGGACACACTGGGAGAGGGAGGCCCAGCCAAGCCTGGCCTGGTTGAGCTGCCAGAGCCCACCTGACACCAAACCCTCTGGGGAACACAGGGAACTTCCTGTTCTCGGCTTCTTTCCCTCTAACCTTCTCTTGACAAGAAAGCAGGCCTCTTCCCAGTAACCCTGGCCTTTAGTCTATGCACACTCGCCATGAAGGCCTCCCAGGCCAGGCTGGAGGGGTGGGGGCCCAGGATCACCGCAATAATCTCAGAATGGAGGGGACCTTGGGACAAAGAGGGGGTAAAGACAGCATCAGGTGGGAAAAGAATTATTCCTCCATCCTCCTGTTCCCTAAATCCCAGAATCCATACGGACCTACCATGACCCCCTCCCTGCCTGCTTCTTGCCTGTCTGCATTGGGCTAAACCCCCAAACATGAAGGGGCCTCAGGCAAACAACCCCTGTCCCCGCAGGAAGGAGCAGGGACCATTCCCAGGGTCTCCACTTACTCTTTTCACACCTAATGATCCTGTGCTTTGGAAGATCTGTATTTTCTCCCAAGCAGACCTCCTTTCTCGATGAAGGATTCATTCTGCCACATTAACTCATACTGAGACTCTGGTTGTAGTAAATGCTGCTAAGGCCTCAAAAGAGCTTCCAGAGCTTGAGGGTGGGGAGTTTCCATATCCTATTGGGTTGCTTACTCTTAAAAGCACTCTTGGATGCCCACCTACTCCCGCCTCCACAGACCCTCAGGCAGCCTCTAGCAGCTCACATTGGGAATCAGTGGTTTAGTTGTCCAGCTCCTATTTCATGGAAGAGTAGGTCCAGAGACCAGAGGTGGCCTGCCCAAGGTCACACAGAAAGCTGATGGCAGGGTGGGACCAGAACCCAGGTCCTTGGGGGGGGGGTCCCACCACAACCACCCCCCAGCTCTGATCCCCGTGCCCCAATTTTCCTCCAGGAACGACTAGCCATGCCTGAGGGGCTGATTTCCCTCTCTCAGCACAATTCTGGGTGATTCCCTCCATGTTCCTTCTTCCCTCCCTAACTGACCCCACTCTGCTCCTTCTGTTTCCTAGTTCCAGTCCCACTTCTAGATATTTACTACATCTGTGCCATTCCCAGTCCCCTCACCCCCACTCGCCCTTCTGAGCTTCCCCCAGGAGGGGCAGGGGGCCCCAAGCTGCGGCTTCTGTACTAAGACTCTTTTGTACTCCACAAACTTTTTGTATATTTTTAATTTTGCTGCAACATGAGATATTAAAAGTCATTTCAGTATGTGCTGCTTGTGTCTTATTGTTTTGGCTGTTCTGGGTTGGGTGAAGGAAGAATGGGAAGGAAGGCTACCTTTTGCCATAATCTCTGTGGCTCCTTCCAGTGAGAAAGACTTGGCTGGGAGAGTTAGGACATTAAAGAACTTCCTTGTTGACTGGACAGAACCTCCATCAATCATCAAGAATCCCAGGCCAACGTGTCTAGGGATCTCCAAACTCATTTTACAGAAAAGGGGAAAGAAGAAAGTGAGGGGTGAGAACATACTTGTCAATGGTCAAAGAATGAGTTCATGACACAATCAAGGCCCAGAACAAAATTCCCAACTCCTCTAAAACAAGTATGTGTTGAGAACCTTACATATGCCAGCTGCATGAACAAGAAAGATAAAACAGGAGTTTATTTTATGGAGGGCCTTGCCTCTAAGAAGTCCCTCCCTCTAGGGTTCCCACTCTAACCCAGCAGTCTTCAAGCTTCTAAAAGCATCAGAACTATATGGAGGACAGGGGAGCTCTTTTAAAATGCTGATTTGCATCTCCATAACCAGAGGGTAGATAGAACAGGCCTGGGACTCTATTTCAGGCAGGCACTTGTGCCGCTGAGCTATATCCCTGGCCCCTGGGACTCTATTTCAAAATGTCTCCAGGAGATGTTGGTGTGAAGAAGTCTAAAGACCTCATTCCTAGGACCATCCCTTTAATGCATCCTCACACCAATCTGATCATGGTGTTCACTTGCTTTAGAATTCCCCATGGCTGCTCAGCACTTCCAGGATAAATGTCAACCCTGATGCTAACTTTTCACAAACTGGACCCCTAACATCTCCTGAGCCTCATCTCCAGGAGTCCCACCTGGTCCACTGAGCTTTTCCAAGCCCATCTTCCTGATTCCATGAGACTCTCCTGGTTGCCACCAAACAGTCTTTCTCACCATCCTTTCATGCAGGCTTCCTAGTGGTCCCCTTCCAAGTACTCAGAACATGGTACCTTAACCCTTACCTGGCATCAGGGAAAAAATCATAATTGATCTAAAACAATGATTCTCAGAATGTGGTCCCCAGATCAGCAGCACCGGGGAACTTGTTAGAAATGCAGACGATCAGGCCCCAACCCAGACCGACTGAATCAGCCAATGAATGAGTGGCAATCTGTTTTTGATAAGTCTTCCAAGTGACTATGATGCATGCCCAAGTATGTGAATCATTGATCTAAGATAATTCCCCAGACCAGGTATTCGAGGGGTAGGGGCAGGTGACCTGATGCCAGTGAGGCAATGACTGCCAAGTATGTGCTGTAGCTATGCTTCCCTTCCTTCTGTAAGGAACTTTTAGCAAGGCATATGGCCACTAGGATGAAAGACTACATTTCCCAGCCTCCTTTGCAGCTAGGCAAGGTCTGACCAATGAGATATGAGCAATAGAACTTTGTGCTAGGGTACTTCCTGTCTTCCCTTTAAGGAAGGGGCGTGAAGGTCTCTACTGGCTGAAGGAAGCTATGTGGAAAACACAAGGGAGTGGGACATTCCCAGGTCCTTGGTTGCTGCTGGTAGTACACAGGGAGGAACCCACATATGGTAGTGCAGCAAGATAGGAAACACTTGGGTGGTGACGTATGGAGCTGCCACACCTGTTCTGGCCTGTGCATACCTCAACTATTATGTGAAGAAAAGGTAAACTTCTGTCATGTTTAAGGCCACTGTTATTTGGGTTTTTGTTACAGCCACGTATATCCTGGTTAATGCTTCTAGACCACTGGTTCCTAGGGGAGGTCTTTTGAAGAGTCTCTGGAAAAAAAAGACACAAAAAAGCCAGGTACACTTGGAATCCCAGTTATTCAAGAGGCTGAGGAGGCAGGAGGATCAAAAGTTGGCATTCAGCCTGAGCAGGTTAAGACCCTGTCTCAAAATAAAAATTTTAAAAAGGGAGTGGGGATGTAGCTCCTGGTTCAATCCCCAGTATCCCCAGGCCCTAAAAAAAAAGACAGACAAAGGAGGGGAAACTTAGTCTCATCTTGCTGGATGACTTCATGTCTGTTTTTCCCAAGGTGACTGTAGCTGTCTTGCTGGCTATATTAGTTTGCTAGTGCTGCCAACACAAAACCCAGAGACAAGGGACTGAAACAACAGAGATGTATCTTCTCACAATTCTGGAGGCTAGAAATCCAAGTCCTATGTGTGGGAGGGTTGACTTCTCCTGGGGCCTCTCACCTGGGCTTGCAGCCCACTGTCTACTCTCTCTGCCATGTCCTCACATGGTCTTCCTCCCAGTGCCCCTGGTGTTTCTGTGCCCAAATTTTCTCCTTTTCCAAGGATGAGAACCCTGACAGCCTCATTTTATTTTGTTTTGTTTTGTTTTTTGTTTGTTTTTCTTCTGGTACTGGGAATCGAACTCACCACCTTGCACTTGCCAGGCAGGCGCTGTGTCGCTGAGCTAAATCCCCAGCCCTTAACAGCCTCATTTTAACGTACTAAACTCTTGAAAGGCCCAATCTCATTTACATTTTGGGGTCCTGGGAGTTAAGTGCTTTGGCATATAAAAGGGGAGGGGCACACAATTCAGCCCACAACACCAGCAAAGTAGAAAAGTATGAGGTATTTGATGCCACTGTTTAGCCTGTAAGTTTACGAGCTCATTCTGGGACTTCCTGTCATGAGCAGTAATGATGCTCCTTCTTGTCTGATCCCCTTTGTGTGGATTTCCAGTTCCTTGCCCCCAGAAGCATCACATCAGGCATCAGACATTTGCTCAAGCTGTTCCCTCAGCCTCACTCCCCTTCTCCTTCCCGGCTTGGCTGGAATGCCTCAGGCTTGGGGAATGGCTCCTGCTCCCGCTTTGCCACACAAGCAGCTTGTCTTACAGCGGAGTTCCTTGTGGGGGTCTTTTTCTCTAAGCACTCAGGGTTGGCATATGCCCTGCACACCTGCTGGCCCCGCTGCTCTGTTCCCTCCTCCTGCCCAGGGCAGGCATTGATAATCAATCCTCTTCTCTTGTTGAGAGCAGATTTGCTTTTTATAATCCCTTACACAGCTCTCTAGGCAATCCTGCAAATCAACTGGAGGTGAATCCTATCTGCCACAGTGAGGTCTCTAAAAACACCGACTTCGTTTGGCTCATCTTATTTTTGATTCAAAAGCTAACTTTAATAATATATGTTATCACTGTATGCTTCTGCTCACATTTAATCCTTGTAGCAGTCATCTGAGGCAGGCACCATGGTTATCCTGCTTTTGACAAAGGAGGACTCTGAGGCTCTGAGAGATGAGGGCAACTTGTTCAAGGTCATTTACATTCAGCCATAGGTCCACCATCCCCAAACACTTCCACTGACATTTACCAAGCACTTCATCTGTTCATGGCTCTCAGATGGATATTTCAGAGAATACTCAGATAATTCTCTCTTTTTACTGGTATTTGAAACACTTCTGGTCTTAATTGTTATTCCCAGCAGTTCAGAGATGTTTGAAATCAGTCAAAGAATAATAAAGCTCCATTTTATAGACAGGGAAACTGAGCCCTAGAGAGAGGACAGAGCTTGCAAAAGCTAGCCACTGAAGTGGCAGAGTGAGAGAACATCTTTGATGCCTGCTGCCATTCTGATGGTGGGGATTCTGGACTGGCCCAAGGGGTAAGTGGTGACTTTGGCATACTGAACAGAGCCGGGCGTTGGCTCGCACATCCCTGCCTCTTCCTGTTGACAGAGCAGACTGAGTGCAAATCTCACTTCCTGCTCTTGGAAGGTGAGGAGCAGGATGTAGAGCAGCAGGAAGGAGAGCCTGGGAGAGCTGGCATTAAGCAGTCTCACACCCAGGGGCATTAGGGAGTCCTGATGCTCTCTCCAACTGACACTGACCTGGCACACACGCTTTCAAAAACACTGCAGTATAGCTCGGTGCCCTGGCACCTGCATATCACACTTTCCAGCTGCTTTCTCATCTGTGTCCTTGTGTCTTCCCCTGCCACTTCTCTGAATAGCAGGACAGAGCTTTGAGGGCTATGGATCCTATTGGGAAGATAAGAACACTGCAGTAAAGTGAGGTTTCAGTAAGAAACCTGGAGCCAGGTGTGGTGAGCACTTGGGAGGCTGAGGCAGGAGTGTCACTGTGCATTCAAAGTCACCCTGGATTATATAGTGGATGCGAAGTGGCCCAAACTACATAGTGACACTCTGTAGATAGATAGGTAGAGAGATAGATAGACAGACAGAGAGATAGATAGATAAGATAGATAGATAGATAGATAGATAGATAGATAGATAGATAGATTAATAGATAGGGTGGCCAGTGTCATACAGCAAAGACATTCAGAATACAAGCCTTCAGAATCCAGGTGTCAGGGCATGGTAAGGATGGACCAATCAGAACCTTTCTAAGTGTCCTGGGTGGGGCATGCAGAAGGCAGATTGTAGAAGTAGGGGACACTAGATTTCAGATCCAGACCAGCCAAAAGTACTAGGTCCTCTTGTTCACTTTGTGACCTAATGAACTAGGCTCTGCACTCGAATCTGTTTTAAAAATCTATGTAGGAGGCCAGGTATGGTGGTGCATGCCTGTAATCCCAGCTCTTGGGAGGCAGAGGCAGGAGGATTACCATGAATTTGAGGCCAACCTGGGATACATAGTGAATTCAAGACCAGCCTGAACTAGATAGTGGGACCCTGTCTCGAAACAAAACAATGTGTAGTAGGAATAATGGTACCCCAACAGGGCAAGGAATAAATGAGATGAGATATGCACAGTGCTTAGCACAGAGGCACAAAGAGGCCTTGCTTTCCTAACATTCTCCCAAGAGACAGAAACATAGCCCACAAACCATAGAGAAGTAAACGGGTAGTGTGTGTTGAGGGGAGGGGATCGTTTTCTGGAGACTGAATGCATGCTGGTCAAATGTTCTACTGCTGAGCTACATCCGCAGCCCTATAGTCAAAATTTATTGAACGATATGTGCCAGGAGCTATTCTGCGTGCATTTAATCCTTAGATGGTCACTGTGAAGTCAAACTAATGTTATACCTTCTTCACAGATGGGAAAGCTGAACCATTAGTGCTTACAGAAATTGCCCAAGCTTATAACTCTGGTAAGTGGCAAAGCCAGGATTCAAACTGAGGCAGCCAGTCTCCAAGGCCCACACGTACTATCTCTCTAAATGGTAATGAATTGTTTTAAATTGTAACTTGCTTGGACGTGGTACCCTATGAAACATTTCCCACCCACTCTCGTTCACTTCTTCCCACAGCAGCCCAGGGCAGGAGGAAGGGGTTGCTCCCTATTTATAGAGAGCCAGGGGCAAAGGGCAAGGCTCTGAAGGGGGAAGTGACTCCCTTGCCAAGGTCATTACATTAATAAGGTCAGTGGCAGAAGTGGGGCTGGAACTTGAAGTTTTCCAAATTTGGATTCCAAACTTAGAGGCCCCTTCCCAGCCTTGCCCAGTGGCTAAGCCCCCTCCCTAGACAGCATCCCTCCTGGCTGGAAGCCTGGGCCTCCACCTTTGGCTGCAGGGTGCCCTGCATCATGTCCTCCACCTCCCCTCCCCACTGTCACACAGATGGGAGGGGCAGGAACTCCAGGGCTGGTGGAGTTTCCGACCAGGCAGGAAAAGGAACAAAGGAACAGGGGCCTGGGGGGTGCGGGGGGAGAGAGGGTGGCAGGAGGAGAGGGGACGCTTCACCATGGACTATGAAGTCAAGAAAGGGAAGAAGGTAGGTGGGAGTCTGAGTGGGATACAGGGCAGAGGCAAGTTCCTGAAGCTGGGGAGAGGGGCTCCTGAGGGTGGGGGCAGTGGGTGGCACAGGTGGGGCCTTCCTCCTCACTTCCTTTCTACCCCCGGCAGGCATTTAGCTCTGTACTCCCTAACTTGTTTCTCCACTATTGGTGGCCTCTGCCATCCCTGGACGGAAAGACAGACAGGGACCTTCCTGGGAAACCTGCTTCCCTAGTATTTCTGGCGGTTCCCTCCTGTAGCTTCTCAGACAGACAGCCAGACAGACAGCCAGCAGACCCATCCTCCCACTCCCCTGCACTCCACCTTGGGCAACTGTGTGCTAAGCAGCAGCCTGTCTCGGTCTGTGTGTCCTGCCTGTGCCCCATCTCTGCACAGGACTCACTCCTCGGGCCTCAGCTGGGACCCATTCCCCTGCCCTTCCCAAATTCACCCCTCCCTGACTTTTTCAGTCCACTTTTCTGGCTGTGTCACCGAACTCCTCGCATTCCAACTCCCCCCATTCCACCGACACAGCACCCTCCTTTTCCAAGAACCCTGGCTCAGGGCCCTTCTAAAAGGTGCCTGTGTGAATCACAGAGCACTCAGGAGGGAGCCAGCCTACGTGCGTGCCCTTTCTGCCTTGTTCCTTTGATAGGCATTTACTGAGCACCTGTCATGTACCAGGAAGTGTGCCAGGTGCTGGTGATGATGCAGTGGTCAACAAAGTCAAATAAGGTCCCTGCTCCTTCCCCAGAGATCGCAGGTTAAGGCAGTGAATGAATTAATGTAAAATTGCACAAAGACCCCATGCCCTGCAGTGGGAGACAGAATGTCAGTGTCCCCACCCTTAGGCTGGGAAGTTTTTGCTGAGAGCTAATGGGTGGAAAGAAGGGGGTAGGGAATGTTTTGAGTAGTGTAACAGCATAGGAACGTTAGGAGGCAGGAGAAGGGGAACAAGGAGATGAGGCTGGAGAAGTGGGCAGGGCTGGACCATTGGGGGTCACAGACAAAACATTTAGGCTACCCCAACACTCACACACATACAGGTTAAAGTTCCAGGTCTGCAGCTGGCATCAAGGCCTCCATGGCTTGTTCATCTCATAATCCAGCCATGACTGACAGGCTACACACGGCTTCTCCAGGCTCACCCCAACTAGCCTTTGAAGCCCCGAGTTTTGCAGTTTTGCACTTGGGGCATCCTCTGCTTGGAATGCCTTCTCCAGACCTAGAGAGTTTACTCTCATTTCTTGGAGCTCCCGCATACTCCATGCGTAATATCAACTCGAAAACCCGAATCACCTAGTGGGCTTGTAAAAATGCATGTCACTGGGGTCTAACTCAATAGATCTGGGGTGGTGTGTGTGAAATGTTATTTCTAACACTCTCATGGGGGTGCTGGCTGTGGGATCATACTCTGAGGACCACTGGTCTTGGTCCCAGCTACTCCAGGTGTGGTGTGCAGACCACAGCATCAGAGTGCGGGAGCACATTAGAAATGGGGAGTCTCCACTCCACCCCACAAACACTGAACCAAAACTCATGAACATGGTGAAGTCTGAAACTCACTAGTCTAGGCCACTTATCACAAACCCTGGAGGCAAGGCTGGGGTCCAGTTCAGGCCCTGAATCCCAGGCCCTGAATCATGCCACACAGGCATGAGTGAATGTTCACTGGATGGATGAACCTAGGCACTTGTGGACTTGTACGTAGTGTGTTTACTTGAACTAGAACATGAGCTCCTAAGGGCAGGGGTGTTGTTTTGTTCATGTCGTCTTGTTGCAGGAGCTAAGAAATCGCACCACAAATTCTGTTTATATGCTCAGAGGTGGGCTGCCACTGAAATCACCCGAGGAGCCTTTAAAAGTCCCGATGGCTGGGACCCAGCCCCAGAACTCCTGATTTGGTTGGTTGGTCTAGGGGGTAGACTGAGCACCTGAAGTTTTAAAAGCTGCCCATCCAAGTCGCTCCAGCGTGCAGCCAGAGTGGGGAGCATCTGCTGGGAAGTGTGGTTCTCACAGTTCGGCACACATCAGAATCACCCGGAGGGCCTGTTAAATCCTGATCACTGGGCCCTGCCTCCAGAGTTTCAGGTTCAGAGGGCCTGGGTAGAGCCTGGGAATCTACATTTCTCTAGACTCCAAGACACTGCTGCTGGTCCAGGAACCACCCACTGAGAATAGCTGCTCTAGAGCAGTGCTCAGACTTCTGTCAGAGATTTAGAGTCTGATGGTCTGAGAAGGGCCCCTGTACTTTGCACCTCCGATCTTGATCCTAGCCATTTTTATTCAGGTGTCTCTGGCTTGTACTTAAATTATTTGGGAAAACACAGAGAACACCTCAACAAATACCTTTGTACCCACCACTGGTTGACATTGACTTTTTCTATATTTGCCCCAGTCTGGGCATAAGAATGGAGCCCAAGTGTGAGAACCACACTTCCAAGCAACTGCTCCCCACTCTGGCTGCATTCTAAAATTACTGGTTCCATCGCTATCAGCTTCTCAGCCAGCTCCATCTCTGGGACTTCACTTTTCCATCTGTGAAGCGGGAATTGCAGAGGTACTCCTTTTACAGAGTTTTTACAAGAGTTAAGTTAGGTCCTGTAAGTTAAACAGTGGACATGGTAAGTGCTCAATTAAGTCAGTGCTGTTATTACTGTTATCTCTCTTGTTGTCCCCAGGGCTTTGTGTCTCCCATCCGAAGGCTGGTGTTCCCCAAGGCCACACGCCGGGCAGCCTTTCGCAACAGTGTGAGCCGCCGGCCCCTGCACTCAATGCCCCTTTATCCCCCCGACTATCTCATTGACCCCCAAATTCTGCTATGTGACTACCTGGAGAAGGAGGTCAAGGTGAGTGTGGGATGAGAGGGGTTGGGTGAGGCCTTACCTGTCCCCTACACCACCCCCTGACCAGCCTGGTCTCATACAGGGGTAGTTGTGGCTCTTGAGTGACAGGCCTGGGTTCATGTCAGCCTAGCCCTTGTGTGCCCTTAGCTAGTGACCTCACTCCTCTAAGCCTCAGTGTTCCCCTCTCAGCATGGGGTCAACACCTGTCCCTGTGGGTTATGGATGGGAAAGTGTTCTGTGTTTTGAAAAAGCTCTGCTTTCCCATAAGATTCTACTGCAGTGACTTTGTTATCCAGGTTAACAAGCCACAAAGGACTCTGACTGCCCAAGGACTTCTATGTCAGGAACATCATGAAGGCAAAGTGGGCACCCTCAGCCAAGGAGAATTGTGCTGGGATGGGACTGTCAGATTCAGCAAACAATAGGCCACTTAGTTAAATTTGCATTTCAGATAAGCAATGAGTACTTTTTAGCATAAATATGTCCCAAATATTGCACAGAACTAAAAGTTCTAAAAACTTAAAACCAAGATTATTATTTATCTGAAATTCAAATTTAATTGGTATCCTGTATTTTACCTGGCAAGCTATAGGGAAAAGCTAGCAAATCTACTTAAAATCTGGAGACTGAGATTTCATGGAGAAAAAAAAGAAGAGAAAAAGTTTGGTGGAATTCACCTAAAAGACTACAACTAAAAATAATGAAGAAAGTTAATTCTCATATTAAATAACATTTAGGTGATAACATCAGGTTACAACTAAGAATAAGTGAAGAATTAATATATTGATCTGAAGCACCATTTTTCTGACAAAATGAAATACTAATTCAGTACATTCTTCCCTTCCATTTGACTTCTGCAAGGAGATCAAAAAGAGTGCTTATGAGCTGCAGTTCATTTGGAATCATTCTACCACTGAGTCCTTTTTCGTTTTTAATTTTGAGACAGAGTTTCACAAAGTTGCTCAGGCCTCAGATTGTGATCTACCTGCCTCAGCCTCACAAGCAGCTGGGATTAGAGGCATAAGCTACAACAGCCAGCTGGGGTCAGTCTTTTTAAGCTATAGCAAAGGCAAGGGTATAGCTCAGTTGTGGAACACTGGCTTAGCATGCACGAGGCCTTACTGGGAGTTGAACACAGGGCCTTCTGCACTGAGCTATAACCCCAGGCCTTTTTATTTTGAAGGACAAGTTTTGCTAAGTCATTAAATTGCTCAGGCTGGGCTTGAACATGTGATCCTCCAGCTTCAATCCCCCAGAGTGCTGGGATTAATAAATGTGTGCAACCACACCCAGACAAATGTTTTAGTCACCCTGTACCATGGGTGAAATACACGTAAAGCCCTCAAAACTGTACCTGGCTTCTGTTATGAATTCAATGAAAGTTATCATCAGATTATTACGAATTCAGATATTTGTATCTCAGCCTATCCTCACTTCGTCAGTCAGGACACCAGGATCCTCCACAGCTTCAGGGTGACTGTGTCCTTCACTCATTCATTTCTCATCCAGTTCCTGGGCCACCTCACCTGGGTGACTTCCTCTCTGAACCCCTCGAGCCGTGACGAGCTCCTGCAGCTGCTGGACAAGGCCAGGGTGAGGATCTGGGGAGAGAAAGTGGAGGGCGGGGTCCCGTCCTTTGCTCCCTTTCCTGCCGATGCTTCCCACCGGGACTCAGGAGACCCGACCTACCCCGCAGCAGCTGAAGGAACTGCCGCTGAAGACCACGGCGGAGCAGGACAGCATCCTGAGCCTATCGGCTCGCTGCCTGCTGCTCACCTGGCGCGACAACGAGGAGCTCATCCTGCGCATCCCTACGCATGAGATCGCCGCCGCCTCCTACCTGCAGGACGACGCGCTGCACCTGCTGGTGCTTAAGACCGGTGGGCCGCGGTGGGGCCTGGCAGGGAGGATCTGCAGCAGGGGTGGGGCGAGAGGAGAGGGGAGAGGGTGATGGTAGACCTGGCCGCACTACCCTGAGACCAGGGACAGGGTCACGACACAGCAAACCGGGGGCGAGGCTGAGGACAGTGGGCGTGCTAAAACCAGGACATAGGGAGGGGACATTCTGATCACCAAGTCAGAAGACAGGTCTGAGGGAGGGGCCCCGGAGTGGGAGAAAAGTAATGCGGGAGGCCAGGGGCGGTGTCAAGGCCTTGTAGGGGTGGAGTCTGAGGCCGGGGGCGGAGCCCGAAGTTAAAATCACTGGTGGCATCCTGAAGGGAATGCCAGGAGTGGGCCCAGGATCCCTGAGCGCGGGGCCAGGGTGTGCGGGGCAGGTCGAGGCCGGGGCAGCGGGAGCCCAGAGCGGCGGCGGAGAGGTGGGGGCGTCCAACTGGTGGCCTCAGGAGGTCCCTTAGCTGCGATCTCCTGCGTTGACGCCCCCACCCCGCCCTTCCTAGGTCTGGGCGTGGACCCGGTGCCCGCCGGCGTGGATGCCAGTCCCGGAGGCACGAGGTGCGACCCGGGCCCTCCGGGCGCGGCGCCCGAGAAGCGGCGGGCGGGCACGGCGGAGCGGCGCC